TGAGGTTACTAAAGACATCGGTAGTGAGTCAGGTCGGTGAGGTTACTAAAGACATCAGTAGTGAGTCAGGTCGGTGAGGTTACTAAAGACATCGGTAGTGAGTCAGGTCGGTGAGGTTACTAAAGACATCGGTAGTGAGTCAGGTCGGTGAGGTTACTAAAGACATCAGTAGTGAGTCAGGTCGGTGAGGTTGCTAAAGACATCGGTAGTGAGTCAGGTCGGTGAGGTTACTAAAGACATCGGTAGTGAGTCAGGTCGGTGAGGTTACTAAAGACATCGGTAGTGAGTCAGGTCGGTGAGGTTACTAAAGACATCGGTAGTGAGTCAGGTCGGTGAGGTTACTAAAGACATCGGTAGTGAGTCAGGTCGGTGAGGTTACTAAAGACATCGGTAGTGAGTCAGGTCGGTGAGGTTACTAAAGACATCGGTAGTGACTCAGATCGGTGAGGTTACTAAAGACATCGGTAGTGAGTCAGGTGAGGTTACTAAAGACATGAGTCAGTTCGGTGAGGTTACGGTAGTGAGTCAGGTCGGTGAGGTTACTAAAGACATCGGTAGTGAGTCAGGTCGGTGAGGTTACTAAAGACATTGGTAGTGAGTCAGGTCGGTAAGTTTGCTAAAGACATCGGTAGTGAGTCAGGTCGGTGAGGTTACTAAAGACATCGGTAGTGACTCAGATCGGTGAGGTTACTAAAGACATCGGTAGTGAGTCAGGTCGGTGAGGTTACTAAAGACATCGGTAGTGAGTCAGGTCGGTGAGGTTACTAAAGACATTGGTAGTGAGTCAGGTCGGTGAGGTTACTAAAGACATTGGTAGTGACTCAGATCGGTGAGGTTACTAAAGACATCAGTAGTGAGTCAGGTCGGTGAGGTTACTAAAGACATCGGTAGTGAGTCAGGTCGGTGAGGTTACTAAAGACATCGGTAGTGAGTCAGGTCGGTGAGGTTACTAAAGACATCGGTAGTGAGTCAGGTCGGTGAGGTTACTAAAGACATTGGTAGTGAGTCAGGCTGTCGGTGAGTTGGTAACATCAGTAGTGAGTCAGGTCGGTGAGGTTAATTGTTAGTGAGTCAGTGTGGTAACCACAGACATTGTTAGTCTGTCAGGTCAGTGTGGTAACCACAGACATTGTTAGTCTGTCAGGTCAGTGTGGTAACAAGACATTGTTAGTCTGTCAGGTCATGTTGGTATGTGGTACATCATTGTTAGTCAGGTGTGGTTACCAGACATTGGTAGTGAGTCAGGTCATGTGTGGTAACCACAGACATTGTTAGTCTGTCAGGTCGTGTGGTTACCAGAGACATCAGTCTGTAGTTGTGGTAACCACAGACATTGTTAGTCAGGTCAGTGTGGTAACCACAGACATTGTTATTCTGTCAGGTCAGTGTGGTAACCACAGACATGGTTAGTCTGTCAGGGCAGTGTGGTAACCACAGACATTGTTAGTCAGGTCAGTGTGGTAACCACAGACATTGTTAGTCTGTCAGGTCAGTGTGGTAACCACAGACATTGTTAGTCTGTCAGGTCAGTGTGGTAACCACAGACATTGTTAGTGTCAGGTCAGTGTGGTAACATTGTTAGTCACAGACATTGTTAGTCTGTCAGGTCAGTGTGGTAACCACAGACATTGTTAGTCTGTCAGGTCAGTGTGGTAACCACAGACATTGTTAGTCTGTCAGGTCAGTGTGGTAACCACAGACATTGTTAGTCTGTCAGGTCAGTGTGGTAACCACAGACATTGTTAGTCTGTCAGGTCAGTGTGGTAACCACAGACATTGTTAGTCTGTCAGGTCAGTGTGGTAACCACAGACATTGTTAGTCTGTCAGGTCAGTGTGGTAACCACAGACATTGTTAGTCTGTCAGGTCAGTGTGGTAACCACAGACATTGTTAGTAGGTCAGTGTGGTAACCACAGACATTGTTCGTCTTAGTCTGTCAGGTCAGTGTGGTAACCACAGACATTGTTAGTCTGTCAGGTCAGTGTGGTAACCACAGACATTGTTAGTCTGTCAGGTCAGTGTGGTAACCACAGACATTGTTAGTCTGTCAGGTCAGTGTGGTAACCACAGACATTGTTAGTCTGTCAGGTCAGTGTGGTAACCACAGACATTGTTAGTCTGTCAGGTCAGTGTGGTAACCACAGACATTGTTAGTCTGTCAGGTCAGTGTGGTAACCACAGACATTGTTAGTGTCAGGTCAGTGTGGTAACCACAGACATTGTTAGTCTGTCAGGTCAGTGTGGTAACCACAGACATTGTTAGTCTGTCAGGTCAGTGTGGTAACCACAGACATTGTTAGTCTGTCAGGTCAGTGTGGTAACCACAGACATTGTTAGTCTGTCAGGTCAGTGTGGTAACCACAGACATTGTTAGTCAGTTTGGTAACAGGTTAGTCTGTCAGTCAGTGTGGTAACCACAGACATTGTTAGTCTGTCAGGTCAGTGTGGTAACCACAGACATTGTTAGTCTGTCAGGTCAGTGTGGTAACCACAGACATTGTTAGTCTGTCAGGTCAGTGTGGTAACCAGAGACATTGGCAGTTAGTCATGTTTGTGTGGTAACCACAGACATTGTTAGTCTGTCAGGTCAGTGTGGTAACCACAGACATTGTTAGTCTGTCAGGTCAGTGTGGTAACCACAGACATTGTTAGTCTGTCAGGTCAGTGTGGTAACCACAGACATTGTTAGTCTGTCAGGTCAGTGTGGTAACCACAGACATTGTTAGTCTGTCAGTCAGGTGGTAACCACAGACATTGTTAGTGTCAGGTCAGTGTGGTAACCACAGACATTGTTAGTCTGTCAGGTCAGTGTGGTAACCACAGACATTGTTAGTCTGTCAGGTCAGTGTGGTAACCACAGACATTGGTAGTCTGTCAGGTCAGTGTGGTAACCACAGACATTGTTAGTCTGTCAGGTCAGTGTGGTAACCACAGACATTGTTAGTCTGTCAGGTCAGTGTGGTAACCACAGACATTGTTAGTCTGTCAGGTCAGTGTGGTAACCACAGACATTGTTAGTCTGTCAGGTCAGTGTGGTAACCACAGACATTGTTAGTCTGTCAGGTCAGTGTGGTAACCACAGACATTGTTAGTCTGTCAGGTCAGTGTGGTAACCACAGACATTGTTAGTCTGTCAGGTCAGTGTGGTAACCACAGACATTGTTAGTCTGTCAGGTCAGTGTGGTAACCACAGACATTGTTAGTCTGTCAGGTCAGTGTGGTAACCACAGACATTGTTAGTCTGTCAGGTCAGTGTGGTAACCACAGACATTGTTAGTCTGTCAGGTCAGTGTGGTAACCACAGACATTGTTAGTCTGTCAGGTCAGTGTGGTAACCACAGACATTGTTAGTCTGTCAGGTCAGTGTGGTAACCACAGACATTGTTAGTCTGTCAGGTCAGTGTGGTAACCACAGACATTGTTAGTCTGTCAGGTCAGTGTGGTAACCACAGACATTGTTAGTCTGTCAGGTCAGTGTGGTAACCACAGACATTGTTAGTCTGTCAGGTCAGTGTGGTAACCACAGACATTGTTAGTCTGTCAGGTCAGTGTGGTAACCACAGACATTGTTAGTCTGTCAGGTCAGTGTGGTAACAGACATTGTTAGTCTGTCAGGTCAGTGTGGTAACCACAGACATTGTTAGTCTGTCAGGTCAGTGTGGTAACCACAGACATTGTTAGTCTGTCAGGTCAGTGTGGTAACCACAGACATTGTTAGTCTGTCAGGTCAGTGTGGTAACCACAGACATTGTTAGTCTGTCAGGTCAGTGTGGTAACCACAGACATTGTTAGTCTGTCAGGTCAGTGTGGTAACCATTGTTAGTCTGTCAGGTCAGTGTGGTAACCACAGACATTGTTAGTCTGTCAGGTCAGTGTGGTAACCACAGACATTGTTAGTCTGTCAGGTCAGTGTGGTAACCACAGACATTGTTAGTCTGTCAGGTCAGTGTGGTAACCACAGACATTGTTAGTCTGTCAGGTCAGTGTGGTAACCACAGACATTGTTAGTCTGTCAGGTCAGTGTGGTAACCACAGACATTGTTAGTCTGTCAGGTCAGTGTGGTAACCACAGACATTGTTAGTCTGTCAGGTCAGTGTGGTAACCAGAGACATTGTTAGTCTGTCAGGTCAGTGTGGTAACCACAGACATTGTTAGTCTGTCAGGTCAGTGTGGTAACCACAGACATTGTTAGTCTGTCAGGTCAGTGTGGTAACCACAGACATTGTTAGTCTGTCAGGTCAGTGTGGTAACCACAGACATTGTTAGTCTGTCAGGTCAGTGTGGTAACCACAGACATTGTTAGTCTGTCAGGTCAGTGTGGTAACCACAGACATTGTTAGTCTGTCAGGTCAGTGTGGTAACCACAGACATTGTTAGTCTGTCAGGTCAGTGTGGTAACCACAGACATTGTTAGTCTGTCAGGTCAGTGTGGTAACCACAGACATTGTTAGTCTGTCAGGTCAGTGTGGTAACCACAGACATTGTTAGTCTGTCAGGTCAGTGTGGTAACCACAGACATTGTTAGTCTGTCAGGTCAGTGTGGTAACCACAGACATTGTTAGTCTGTCAGGTCAGTGTGGTAACCACAGACATTGTTAGTCTGTCAGGTCAGTTTGGTAGTGTGTGGTAACCACAGACATTGTTAGTCTGTCAGGTCAGTGTGGTAACCACAGACATTGTTAGTCTGTCAGGTCAGTTTGGTAACCACAAACATTGTTAGTCTGTCAGGTCAGTGTGGTAACCACAGACATTGTTAGTCTGTCAGGTCAGTGTGATAACCAGAGACATTGGCAGTTAGTCATGTTTGTGTGGTAACCACAGACATTGTTAGTCTGTCAGGTCAGTGTGGTAACCAAAGACATTGCTAGTCATGCTAGTGTGGTTACCACGGATTTCAGTATCTTGTCTGGTCAGTTTGTTTACAAGGGACATCAACAGTCAAGTTTGTATCAATACCAAACATTTCAGACACACAAAAGGTATATATTCATCCGTTTTATTATTATTCCAGAGAAAAATAAACATCTGATATTGTTGTATTGTATTGAAGATATCAATAATAAGTAACAACTCATTCTTGGTCCTATACAATGAATTAATCCTTCTCACTGCTTCCATGAACACTAATAACACATACATACATATATGTTCTCATCCACAATCAACATTTACAAACACATTTACACTCATTTTCTATAAATGGTAGCCATATTCATGATATTAATGTCACTGTACACAACGGGCATCACCCAGCTAGTAATTTTACTTTCAGAAACTGGAAACATCAGACACATCTAAAATTTCTGTAAACATGCTTCTACAAATGCTCTGTCAATATTTGTGAACACCCTGTCAACAACTGACCACTCGACACATCTGTGATTACACATATTGTATGTCAAGTGATAAACTTATCAACATTTCTCATATTGTCATAATTTCAATTCATTTTGAACACAAGATGTGTTTTTTTTCCATTAAATCTACACAGATGAAGTGTTTATGAACTTGACTCACTACTATCATCCTTCTGTCTATGTTTTTTATGTTTTGATTTTCTGTGTCTTTTGTTCTTTTTGTGCTTTTTCTTCATTCTTATGTCATCTTCCGAATCAGACGAGTTTCTGTCATCGTAATCTGAATAATGCTTTTGTTTCTTTTTCTTTTTCTTTCGTCTCTTCCTCTCCCTGTCCTCTGATGAATCCGATTCTGATTCTGATTTCCTTCTATGTCTATGTCCACGTCTGTCTTCTGAAGAGTCTGAAGTCTCGTCTGATTCATCTCTGTGTCTATGTTTAGATTTCTTGTGTCGAGGAGATCTAGATCTAGATCTGATAAATAAAAAAATTGAACATCATTTTACTGGTAAATTGTGAAAATGTTTGATATATTACAAAATGATGTTATACTGAATATATGTCTATGTTTCTATCACTGTTTAATTCAACATATACATTATTATTTATAAGTACAGCTCAGGACAGGTTCTTAACAATGACTGGTATAGCTCAAGACAAGTGCTAACTAATGACTGGTATAGCTCAGGACTGGTACTAACTAATGACTGGTATAGCTCAGGACAGGTACTAACTAATGACTGGTATAGCTCAGGACAGGTACTAACTAATGACTGGTATAGCACAGGACAGGTACTAACTAATGACTGGTATAGCTCAGGACAGGTACTAACTAATGAATAGTATAGCTCAGGACAGGTACTAACTAATGACTGGTATAGCTCAGGACAGGTGCTAACTAATGACTGGTATAGCTCAGGACTGGTATAGCTCAGGACAGGTGCTAACTAATGACTGGTATAGCTCAGGACAGGTACTAAATAATGACTGGTATAGCTCAGGACAGGATTAACTAATGTCTGATATAGCTCAGGACTGGTACTAACTAATGACTGGTATAGCTCAGCACAGGTACCAACTAATGATTGGTATAGCTCAGGACAGGTACTAACTAATGACTGGTATAGCTCAGGACAGGTGCTAACTAATGACTGGTATAGCTCAGCACAGGTACCAACTAATGACTGGTATAGCTCAGCACAGGTACCAACTAATGACTGGTATAGCTCATACAGGTAGTGTATGTTCTTTACTTATTATCATCAACTTTGTGAGCTAAATACAGATTTTTTGTACCCGACGCAAAAATATGGCAATATTTACCTTTTGTTACTTTTCTTCTTTCTTTTTTTCTCAGTTTTAAAAAACTTTTTTTCCTTTTGTTTTGAAAGTTTACCTGTAAAATCCATAACAATTAAATTCATTCAGTGATCATATAATTTGAATACATACATATGTATCAATTACAAAATGAAGTCACACTAGAAGAAAATTATGGAGTAGTTATCAAATTAAACTACATTTTTAACACTTCCGAAACATGTCCCATCAAGTTATTACAAACTTACTGATAAGGAGATACAGAAGTGGGAGGAAAACACAGTACCCAAATATGGTCATGCAAGTGACATATCTAATCTGCATAGTTAACCAGGCTGTAATAACAATTTAAATCATAGTAGTTTTACTCTGTGACAACTAACAGCCAGATATGCTGACGTATTGGCAGAATAGGAGCCTATTGAATCATGCTTACCCTGCTGGAGCTTAGTGAGGGGAGACACAAATTCCTCACTGGAGTCGGAACTGGTGCTGCTAACATCCAGCACAACATCCTTCTCTGGGTCAGATTTGATGAAGTTCCTGCACTGAAATGTTAGGTGACCAGCTGGAAAAGATACATTAAAATATGTATTACAACTTTTAATAAAGGCCTGAACACTCAAATATATACAATTATTGTCCACATAGGTTCAGCTGACTGAGGTATTAAGATCTAGAACGGACCCTGAATTATCTTACCTATGTGAAATTTCCTTCATTCACTTATACCTTTGTGAAAATGACCATCAGTCCATATGTGATTTCTGAAAATGACCTTCAACAGTCCAGTGTAGAAACAACCATAATGATTTCACCGAAGTGACATGACTAACTTCTGTGTTACCTCTGGTATATATAGCCTTATTACTACTGATGTAATTATTTTATATTTTATATTCCATACATGTAAAATACAATAGTATGATTACCATATCCACACTTTCTGCAAGCTGCTCTGTTGCCATCATTGGTTTTACTTGTGAGCTTTGTAACCAGGCCTGTTAAACCAAATAATAACAATTAACAGTGACCTACACTGTCATTACAGTTGTAACAATAGCTCAACAGCAAAAGAAGTGTATCCAGTGACCAAAATGAGGCACCAGGTTTGAATCCTAGTTTTTCCTCTTGTGATACAGTATGCTTTTACTGAAATATTCAAGCAAGGGCATGCAAATTTTACAAACGAACACATTTATATTACTTACAAGATCAATGTATTTTGCAATTGTTTTGCTTGAGCTAATATTACACTGTACGGTATATAGTATATTACACAGGATAGCATACTGCTGATTCTCCTGTACATGTAGGTAAATAATGCATATAGTGAAAAGGAGACTTAATCAAATTAAAACTGCATATACTGTTTCTAAAAAAAATCTTTATTTTTTTTCCAAAAGAAAAGAAGTGATCTGCATATTTTTTTTCTTCTGCAGAGATACCACAACTACATGTATATACAGTACAATATAAAAAGTAATTTGTGACAGAGTCTGCAGTGAGAATGATAAAGATAAGCAATTATCAAGTTCTTCATGATGTGTGCATTGACAGGAAATGCATCAACATATTTATAAAGATTTTCTGGAATTATTGCATGAAGTAATGTTTCATAAGACAGTGCCTGGGCCTATTGGTATAAACCAATCTGAAGTTTCAATATTACATTACAATGTTACATATGTACATATGTACTAATGGTATTATTGGTGAGGTCAGTATATAAATTTAAATTGTATAGCAGTCTAGAAAAAAGATTGTGCTAGTTTTCAAATAAGTTGGTTGCATCAATTCCTCTGAAATCAATGGGAGGATTGATTGTATGCTACCTGTCTTTCTATGGTGTATTTACACGCGCTTAGCAGAAGTTTTTAACTAAGACTGAGGTGTATACAATGTATGTGATTGTTAACTAAACTGTAAGTATCGTAAAAATCTTCTGAATACTCTAACGAGTTAGTTTTAACCACAAAAAACTAAAGATAATTGATCATTCAATGTAGATTTTCTACCATGCATAACATTACATACCATGAATATCCTGCATCGTGTTGCTGAATGGAAACTGCAACTGTAAAGTTAAGCTTGTTTGAGAGTACGATTTTCGTGTCGCTTAAACGTTTCAGGTATATGTGTCGATAATACTTAATTAACATTTGTGATTCAAGTAATAATTAGCGCATTTGTCAGTGATTCTCAAACGAAGTGATTCTCTGAAGTAGAAACTTAGATATTTGTCAAAATGATGATCAGAATGATTTCCATTTAAAACTGTATGTATTCGACCTTCTTATCGACTATAGTTTTGAAACAGAAAATAAAAAAGATGGCAGCTTCCATGATTTGACTTCACAACGTGTACATGTTGATGATTTAATAAGAAAAATGAGTAATATTTATATTCAGGAACCTCCAACAGATGGAAAGGTGAGTTCACAGATCATGTAAGCGGATAAAAAACAAACGCAGAATTAGAAAGCTGACGGGTTTCAAAAGTGAATGTCTGCTGAATATACCAGCTGATGATATAGCAACTTACTAATCACTGTTGTATACGTATAAGAGGCCTATGTTCGCACTGGCGAATATGCAACGCCTGTCAAAAGTTTCTTGCCGTGTTGAATATCCAACAATGTTATATAGTATACCTATAATGTTGCATATCGCGATCGCAGCACACGTTTGCGCATCCTGCATGTTTTTAGGACAGCCGATCACCAGTTCTCACCATCAACTTACAATATGTACGTTATGGAGATAAGCTGAAAACTGGTCAATATGTGTGAGAGAAGATAGATCGAGGCCTGACATAGGAGATACCTTTCCTCTTTCACGCATATTGTAAAGTTTGAGTTGTATCTCTAATTAAAAACACAGACATTTGTATGAGCATATAACACCATTATTTTAAATGGTTCCACAAACTCAATCCATAACTGTACAGTTATATGTTGTTGTTTTTAAACTTCTATGACAACTCTATCTCTGTGTGTTTAACATTATTCACCACATGATGAAGTGCAGAGCTAATGCTTTTCGTCTGGTTAGTTGGAATTCACTTCTGTTAATGTTTTTTTCACTGTTTTTTCTCTGACAGTGAAGCAGAACATTCTTTTCCTACTTTTGGCACATTTTGCTACTAATGGATTTGAATGATGCAAAGAGTGTTTTTCAGTGACATCTATCATTGCCATAACATATTTATTAAAAGGTGTTCTTAAATCAGGTGAAATCCAGAAATTTGTTACTATATTAAGTTAATTCTTTATATACTCAATACTGTTTGTCTGTCCTGTTTGCAACAGTGTGTGTATTTATGTTGACCCTATGGAATATAGACCTTGACTCCATGGGTTATTGAAGTTTAAATGAAGTGGAATTTTCCAACTTACCATATATGGAGCATCAATGACACAATAATTCATGTTGGTACATAAAAGCCTTAGCTTATTATAAAAGGACACAATATGGATAATGTGGCTGTGAAGTTTAAGTTCATTGTGATTTATGTTCATCTTTATACATTTTTTACTTGAAAGGTCATTAAATATCGGTGTACAATAATAATTTTACAGGTGTTGTTGGTGACATCAGTTGGAGATATTGATATAGAGCTATGGTCCAGAGAAGCTCCAAAGGCCTGTCGCAACTTTGTACAGCTGTGTTTGGAAGGCTACTACAATGGTACCATATTCCACCGGGTGGTGAAGGACTTCATTGTACAAGGGGGAGACCCAACTGGGACTGGAGAAGGCGGTGAATCCATCTATGGGGCACCCTTTAAGGTAATGACTGTACTTTGTACTATCTTACAGTAAGATCCGGTGACACATTACTTCTGGTTAAGTTGGCAGGCTTAATTACAGGATAATAAATTTTGTTAATTCTACTGAATATCTATATATTAGAGTAGAGGTGGGTTTGTTACAAAATGTATGTAAATTTTGTATCAAACAATTACACCCCTGCATGTTTAAATGCTGTGAGGATTATTAATTTTGCAATTTTTTCCAAAATCTGCTCTGCACAAAAACTGATTTCCCGATGAAACAAATTTGAAGCTAAAAAGAAATCATATATTTCTGTCAAGAATCTTTAAGCTGTTAACTTGTTACATCTGGTCAATATTTGTATGGTATCACATGACATGGAGTTGATACTAATGTATTTCACATGTCTACTTTGAGATTTTAGTCAAAGTTATTTAACCTCATGTAATGAAATGACACATTGGACATATGCATACTGTATTTTTTATGACACCAACATGTGTAGAATATGTTTCACCAAGAATGGTCAGTGTACAGTACTCAGTATAGACATAATTCCTTTATATAATCTATTCTCTCTGTCAACTAATATCCCTTGCTCTGCTTCCATGATAATGGTTTAATAAAATATGAATGTATATTACAAGAGAAAAACAACAATTTAGATGTTTGTCATTATGACCATATAATTCTGCCACACATATATGATTCTGTAGAGTTAAATGATAAATGAAAACATTTGACCATTTATTTACAAACAGAAAGAAATATATGATATACTAGTGTAAAAGAGACATCTACATGACTTGATTTTTCTGTTGTAATTTCAGGATGAGATCCACAGCAGACTGCGGTTTGTACGCCGCGGATTGGTAGCAATGGCAAATGCAGGTCCCCATGACAACGGCAGTCAGTTCTTCTTTACGATGGGGTCTACTCCTGAACTGCAGAACAAGCACACCATATTTGGAAAGGTAAGATCTTTTGGTGAAGGCTGATATAACAGAAGAGCTTACTTTTACTTACCTGTTTGGCGGTTTCTTTATCGGTTTGACCCGTTGGACGAGGAATATTTGTTTATGAAATAAGAACAGACCAATTGATCTTACTTTGCTTTCTGATGAGGTCCATCTCAATTTATGCCTAAAATGTTACATGTAGAGTATTCATGACTCGGTTCGTCCGTGTCAACAAACAAACAGGCTCCTGTATGTGTGTTTAAGAGTCTGTGTCTATATGATAAGTTTACATGCATATCCATTCTATATCAAGTTTTCTGTATGAAATCTTGTGAATGTGCAATTCTTGAAATCTGAGGGCTGATATCATATTTACTCAGAGGTCTGAAATAACAGAATCAAAATTGTATCACTTTGGGGATAATAAGATTTTAATGAAGTATATCTGTAATGTACATGAGACTCTAGTGGAATAAAGGGACAACCAGGTATTGCAGGCATGATGCCTGTGTGATTACGAAAACATTTTCAGCTGCAAAACAAGAAAAATTGTCTCAAGATTACCAATTTAATATTTCAGGCAATGTTTATATAGTACTGAACATGTATTTATCTGATACAGTCCATTTACAAGTGAGATGAAACTGACGCGGTAAGTTATAGACACTAAACTAAGGTATTGTGAGATTTGTAGATGATGAATGAAGTAATGACGTTGCAGTAAATCTTGTTATTTGTAAATAATTCACTGTGAGTGTGTGAATTTTTAGGTCGGTGGAGATACTATTTACAATATGATACGACTTCAGGAGGTAGATGTTGACAGCAATGATCGTCCTACATACCCACTCAAAATAAAAAACACCAAGGTAACATATAAACTTCTTTCATGATATTTTGATAAAATATGATTGGATCTTGATTTGGCCAGTATGACTTAAAATGATTTGAAATGAGTACGTAGTATGAATTGCAATGAACTGTACTGCATCTGATTTTGTAATACATGTAATGATTTGGTAGAGCGGCCGAGTAGGATTTACAATGATTGGTAGTGAGTATGACTTGGTGATGATTTGAATATGAATGAAGTTTAAGAATATTTTCTCTCAGTTGCAGTACATACAATGTACACACTGAACCTTATTACCTCCCTTTCAGGTACTTTCTAATCCATTTGATGATATTGTGCCCAGACAGAAGACAAAAGAATCGGAGGAAAATGATTCAAAGTCAAAAAGCAAATCCAAGGGTACAAAGTGAGTGGACATGGAACTGTACATGTCTCTCCAACCTCAGGGTTGATGTGTGCATCTGTCATACATTTGAGGAATGTTCTATACTTATACAGGTTGTCCCTTATCATGTCTATATGAAACAAATACATATGGATGTTAGTTTGGCGAACTATCCACAGGGTGTTAGTTATTGTATGATAAAGTATTACCCGGGAATGTGGATACATCCGTGTTGACATTCCTAATTAATGTAGATTTTTTTTGGTACAAATTCATAGATACATGTTTGTGTTCCAATATTTACCGAATAGATCACATTTGTGTCTATCTTCCCATAGAAACTACAGTCTGTTATCATTCGGTGAGGAGGCGGAGGAAGATGAGGAGGAAGTCTCTATGGCAGTCAAGGTAACACTATCATTCTGTGTCAAACTTATGGCTTAGTCCGGGTAGTGAAGGTAACACTAATGTGCTGTGTCAAACTTAAGGTTTACTCAGGGAAGTGAAGGTAACACTATCATTCTGTGTCAAACTTAAGGTTCAGTCAGGATAGTGATAGTAAAGTCGATATAGAAATATGTTTCAGACTAATGAAGGTAAAGAGAAGTTCATGTTTGATAGCTGACCGTTTAATTACACTATTCAATCAATATCAGAATCAATTCACACTCTTAAAAACAATATTTCTTTAGTGTTACCTGAGTTAATGTAGTTAATGTTAATTTGTTGATATAATGTTTTGATAATATTAGAGAAAAATGAAAACAAATTATGCTTTAAAATTGGTTTGAGTGAAATGAAGTTGTATTTTGCAAGATTGGGTTTTCTGCATGATCTCAAAGAGACATGACAAATGAAAATTTGACAATCCTTTGCAGATTGCGGAGAGAAGATTTTGAATTTATATGGACATATTGATTGTATATCTAAATGTCATAAGGACAATGTTAGATATAAAAAAATCTTTCTCTATATAACACAGGATATGAAAGGCAGAAGTAAAAGCAGCCATGATCTGACAGATGACCCCAAGTTGAGTTCACAACCTGCAGTATCATCAGATCGTAAAAAAAGGAAAATAGACGATGATGATAGTGAGGAGGTAAGCTCACTAAAGCTGTAGGATCTATTACAATAGTGAACTAGCAGATTAGGTTTGAAATGAGCTAACTGATTGTATCCTGTAGTGAACCATCTGATCAGGCTCTGTGAAGGGAACTAACTGATTAGATCCTGTAGTGAACCAGCTGATCAGGCTCTGTGGAGGGAACTAACTGATTAGATCCTGTAGTGAACCACCTGATCAGGCTCTGTGGAGGGAACTAACTGATTAAGGGTTTTTAGGGAATAAGGGAATATTGTGCAAGTAATTTATCTGGTTGGGTTGAGTTTGTTTAAATTTGATGTTACCGTCTTTAATTTTAATGGATGAAGACATTTTACCATGGCAGACTCTCAATATTTAATCCATGTGAAACATCATAAAATGGTTGCAGGATTTAGGAATACAAAAGCTGTAGAACCTAAAATTGAAAGTTTTCATTTTTCGATGATCTTTCAGTCAGATGAAGAAAGCAACAAATCTATTAAAGAATCTATCCAAAAGAAGTTGAAATCCAGCTCAGAACTCGGCGTGAAAGGAAAACACTCTATAGACCTTGGTGAACCAGATGAAGGAGCTGAAAAAATGTCAAGAAAGTAAGTAAACACTAGTATTTATAACTGGTCCTCTGTAAGACAGATACACTAGTATTTATAATTGGTCCTCTGTAAGACAGATACACTGTATTTATAACTGGTCCTCTGTAAGACAGATACAATGTATTTATAACTGGTCCTCTGTAAGACAGATACACTGTATTTATAACTGGTCCTCTGTAAGACAGATACACTGTATTTATAACTGGTCCTCTGTAAGACAGATACACTAGTATTTATAACTGGTCCTCTGTAAGACAGATACACAGTATTTATAACTGGTCCTCTGTAACACAGATACACTGGTATATATAACTGGTCCTCTGTAAGACAGATACACTGTATTTATAACTGGTCCTCTGTAAGACAGATACACTGTATTTATAACTGGTCCTCTGTAAGACAGATACACTGTATTTATAACTGGTCCTCTGTAAGACAGATACACTGTATTTATAACTGGTCCTGTAAGACAGATACACTGTATTTATAACTGGTCCTCTGTAAGACAGATACACTGTATTTATAACTGGTCCTCTGTAAGACAGATACACTGGTATATATAACTGGTCCTCTGTAAGACAGATACACTGTATTTATAACTGGTCCTCTGTAAGACAGATACACTGGTATATATAACTGGTCCTCTGTAAGGCAGATACACTGTATTTATAACTGGTCCTCTGTAAGGCAGATACACTGTATTTATAACTGGTCCTCTGTAAGACAGATACACTATACACTGTATTTATAACTGGTCCTCTGTAAGACAGATACAATGTATTTATAACTGGTCCTCTGTAAGACAGATACAATGAATTTATAACTGGTCCTCTGTAAGACAGATACACTGTATTTATAACTGGTGCTCTGTAAGACAGATACACTGTATTTATAACTGGTCCTCTGTAAGACCGACGCACTGTATTTATAACTGGTCTTGTGTAAGGCATGTACACTGTATTTATAACTGATCATCTGTAAGACAGATACACTGTATTTATAACTGGTCCTCTGTAAGGCTGATACACTGTATTTATAACTGGTCCTCTGTAAGACAGATACACTGTATTTATAACTGGTCCTCTGTAAGACAGATACACTGTATTTATAACTGGTCCTCTGTAAGACAGATACACTGTATTTATAACTGGTCATCTGTAAGACAGATACACTGGTATATATAACTGGTCCTCTGTAAGACAGATACACTGTATTTATAACTGGTCCTCTGTAAGACAGATACAATGAATTTATAACTGGTCCTCTGTAAGACAGATACACTGTATTTATAACTGGTCTTCTGTAAGGCAGATACACTGTATTTATAACTGGTGCTCTGTAAGACAGATACACTGTATTTATAACTGGTCTTCTGTAAGGCAGATACACTGTATTTATAACTGGTGCTCTGTAAGACAGATACACTGTATTTATAACTGGTCCTCTGTAAGACAGATACAATGTATTTATAACTGGTCCTCTGTAAGACAGATACACTGTATTTATAACTGGTCCTCTGTAAGACAGATACACTGTATTTATAACTGGTCCTCTGTAAGACAGATACACTGTATTTATAACTGGTCCTCTGTAAGACAGATACACTGTATTTATAACTGGTCCTCTGTAAGACAGATACACTGTATTTATAACTGGTCCTCTGTAAGACAGATACACTGTATTTATAACTGGTCCTCTGTAAGACAGATACACTGTATTTATAACTGGTCCTCTGTAAAACAGATACACTAGTATTTATAACTGGTCCTCTGTAAGACTGATACACTGTATTTATAACTGGTCCTCTGTAAGACAGATACACTAGTATTTATAACTGGTCCTCTGTAAGACAGATACACTAGTATTTATAATTGGTCCTCTGTAACAGACAGATTTATAACTGGTCCTCTGTAAGACAGATATAGTGTTACACTGTATTTATAACTGGTCCTCTGTAAGGCAGATACACTGTATTTATAACTGGTCCTCTGTAAGACAGATACACAGTATTTATAACTGGTCCTCTGTAAGACAGATACACTGTATTTATAACTGGTCCTCTGTAAGACAGATACACTGTATTTATAACTGGTCCTCTGTAAGACAGATACACTGTATTTATAACTGGTCCTCTGTAAGACAGATACACTGTATTTATAACTGGTCCTCTGTAAGACAGATACACTGTATTTATAACTGGTCCTCTGTAAGACAGATACACTGTATTTATAACTGGTCCTCTGTAAGACAGATACACTGTATTTATAACTGGTCCTCTGTAAGACAGATACACTGTATTTATAACTGGTCCTCTGTAAGACAGATACACTGTATTTATAACTGGTCCTCTGTAAGACAGATACACTGTATTTATAACTGGTCCTCTGTAAGACAGATACACTGTATTTATAACTGGTCCTCTGTAAGACAGATACACTGTATTTATAACTGGTCCTCTGTAAGACAGATACACTGTATTTATAACTGGTCCTCTGTAAGACAGATACACTGTATTTATAACTGGTCCTCTGTAAGTATTTATAACAGATACACTGTATTTATAACTGGTCCTCTGTAAGACAGATACACTGTATTTATAACTGGTCCTCTGTAAGACAGATACACTGTATTTATAACTGGTCCTCTGTAAGGCTGATACACTGTATTTATAACTGGTCCTCTGTAAGACAGATACACTGTATTTATAACTGGTCCTGGTCTGTGTAATTTATAACTGGTCAAGATACACTGGTATATATAACTGGTCCTCTGTAACACAGATACACTGGTATATATAACTGGTCCTCTGTAAGACAGATACACAGTATTTATAACTGGTCCTCTTTAACACAGATACACTGGTATATATAACTGGTCCTCTGTAAGACAGATACACAGTATTTATAACTGGTCCTCTGTAAGACAGATACACTGTATTTATAACTGGTCCTCTGTAAGACAGATACAATGTATTTATAACTGGTCCTCTGTAAGACAGATACACAGTATTTATAACTGATCCTCTGTTAGACAGATATACTGTATCTATCTTATAACTTCAGTTTACCTACTTACCTTTAATATTTAGACTTAAACATTAAAGCTAAAAATTCTTACAATTGGATTTATTTTTACCTTTCCACAAGAATGGATTGAAAATGAGGCTAAGGTGTTGCTTTACTGTTTACTTCGATGTTGTAAAGTTACATTTAGACATGATTATCCTAATGTGTACTACAGCAGTCCCATTGGCATATAGTGAGATAATATTGTGTATGCTATAGATTACTGGGACATTTTTTCCATTGTTAATTTTACCTTCATCATCCATGAACTGGAAGGACAAATTTAAGATTGGGGCAACTTTTGTTTAATCTCCAGGTATTGTGTTTACATTGTATTGATGTAATCTCCAGGTATTGTGTATACACTGTGATGATGTAATCTCCAGGTATTGTGTTTACATTGTATTGATGTAATCTCCAGGTATTGTGTATACACTGTGATGATGTAATCTCCAGGTATTGTGTATACACTGTGATGATGTAATCTCCAGGTTTTGTGTATACACTGTGATGATGTAATCTCCAGGTTTTGTGTATACACTGTGATGATGTAATCTCCAGTTATTGTGTATACACTGTGATGATGTAATCTCCAGTTATTGTGTATACACTGTGATGATGTAATCTCCGCTTATTGTGTTTACATTACATTATGCTATAAGGGATATAATTGTAATAATTGTAGGGAACAGCTCAGGAAAGAAGCCAAACAACTAAGAAAAGAATTGAAAGGATCTACAGAAAAGGTTGATAGTACAGCAAGCAAAACAGAAAGTAGAAAAGACAAAGGTAAGAATAATCCTGAAAAAATGACCAGTCAGGAATAATGTGGAATATACAAAAAGTGTTTGGTAGTGAAGGTATGGATACTGGGGATAGAAATATTTATGTGGTGTTATTTTTCTGGTCAGTATGAAATCCAATATGGCCACCATATTGATAAACACATTTGAAAATTCTCTTCCACTGATCTCATTGAGCTGAAAAGTGATTGGAATGATAAGAAAAGGCAGCTGATAAAGTGTCCCTCTTTTTCAAAACTTTGTTGGGATGTTGTGAGAATGTGAAATGCCTTTATTAACTAAAAGTTAATAAAATTCCCAAATGTTTTTTTAATAATTAATAACAGTTCCCACTACTACAGCTGTAGTAATGCTAGATCTCCTACAGGAATTTATAGTCAGATGACTGTAAAGCCCAGGGGGCCTCTTGAACATGTATGAATAACTATATAGATTGCTAGACAATGTCAAAATGTGTCATCAGTGATGTCCAAATTAATAGCTGAAGACAAAGATATTAGTTCGGACAGTCAATGGTTCTTCCTTTCCCAGGATGTTGCATGTAATGGAATACTGAGATCACATATAAATGATATTTTTCTCTTTTTCCCATGAATCCATAGAACCTGTCAATGATGTCGTGGCTAGCTATCTGAAAGAAAAACAAAAGTATCAGGATTTAAAGAAACAGCAAAACAAGAAAGGCTCCAGTCGTGAAAATGCTACGATGGAACTTTTGTCAAAGTTTCAGAACAAACTTAGGTCTGCCAAGGTCATTGGAGGGGAATATGAAGAGGAGGAGGAGGACGACAATGAGGGGGAGGAAGACTCAGGGGATATGTCCTGGTAAGGTTACATACCTTTTTCATTTTCTATAAATAGGTTATAATTATATTATAAGTCACCCACTTTATATATGTTATCAACTTTATTGTATTGTAACTATGTTATCTAGTGTTGTTATACCTAGTATTGCACTAGAATGAACGATAATCTCCAACTTAAATATATACTGATTTGTAACCTAGTAAATAATTTAGTGTTGTTACACCTAGATTTTTGGATAAGATCACTCTCTCCCCTTGTATCATTGATCATATGTTATAACTAGTAAACGATTTAGTGTTGTTACACCTAGATTTTTGGATAAGATCACTCTCTCCCCTTGTATCATTGATCATATGTTATAACTAGTAAATGATTTAGTGTTGTTACACCTAGTATTGAGGATAAGATCATTATCTCCCTTGTTGTAATGATACATATCTGAGTTATATGCGCGTTTGAATTGTAATTTGGCTATTGTTTTTCATAAGAGACATGCTTGGTTATCTTTTGTGTAGGATGAGACATACCCTGAAATTCGACACAGAAGAAAGTAAGAGGCGAGTCATCGATGCAAATGTACAGGAACTTGATAGATATGATTATATTGATCCCAGAAATCCTCTCAACCAGCGACGACGAGAAGCTAGCAAACAGGCTATGAAGGCCAGAAAATGACACCTTTACATTAATTAATTATGTAAATGAGACATTTACCTATAAAGGATATATGCTGTGTCTTTACGAGTGTTAGTGAAGAAATTTTTAAGCCAATGATTTTTTTTTGTCGGCCTCATACGTAGAGCATATCATTTATTCATTCACTGAGAGCTACATATAGCCAAAGATGTAAGATACTTTAGGTCTCTGACAACAAATCTAGATGAATGATGTGATGGTTTTGATACATTTATTTATTTAGTTAAGAGTTTTCACAAAGTCAGTGATATAAATGTAGGATAGTATAGGACACTGACAAGAAAAATCCAGATAAATCAAGTGATTGTTTGAAAATATCTGATGATGAAATTCAAATGTAGCTGATACATATTTCATGCTGACAATTGAGTGATATTTAATTCATTGTCTTTTGTTTTCACATGCCTGTAGAAGTGTTAAGCCCTATAGTGTTTTGGAAGTGTTAGAAGGGAATAAGAATTTGCTGTGGTGACTTTTGTTATGTTTAAGATCAATCCAGATGTAATATTGATAAAATATTAATTTCATCTATACTGAAAAAAGTCTCAGGGTAAAACCAATGCAGCAGTGTCTAATATAGTAAACTTGTTTCCCATTGTCCTTCATTTGTATACCAAATGGTATACAGGGTGATTAGGGGCAGTTCTAGAAGAGTATAACAATTGCAGCAATCAGGGGACTGGTTTTCTTGCGTAAGATCTGTAGCTACATGATAAAAAAGAAAGCCAGAAAATCCATTTACTGTCTGATTGTAATAATAACTTATATAAATAGGGGTGCTGTATTGCTTCAAACTAGTTTGTTTAATACATACTTATTAGTCTTATTAGTGATAAACTGCAATAGAATGGAAAATTTTCATTTCATTTTACCCAGTTTTGATAAACAAATTGCTAGATTGTTAAATAAAATGATACACTGTACAGTAACATTGGTAAATACAAAACAAAATATATACTGCTCAGTTAGATAGAACTTCTCTTTAACTTGATACATCGAACATAGACCAATAAACTAACCTATAAAGTCAGGACATTTTGTATCTCATCATATGAAGTTTATACACCTCTGAATATTTGTTAGGAAGTCTGATAACAAAATTATCAAGTTTTTGATATTAAACAGAGAAAGGAAAAATTGTTTCAACATCATTGATAACAAGCCTGTAGCTATGGATTCTGGTAAAACAAATAATGCTCCAGGTCTCAATATCACTTTAAACAAATCAAACAAAGAGTTTAAGGGCTAATACACAGTCAAATTTACAGTTATAAGGGCTAAGACACAGTCAAATTTAGTTATAAGGGCTAAGACACAGTCAAAGTTACAGTGATAAGGGCTAAGACACAGTCATATTTACAGTTAAAAGGGCTAAGACACAGTCAAATTTAGTTATAAGGGCTAAGACACAGTCAAATTTACAGTTATAAGGGCTAACACACAGTCAAATTTACAGTTATAAGGGCTAAGACACAGTCAAATTTACAGTTATAAGGGCTAAGACACAGTCAAATTTACAGTTATAAGGGCTAAGACACAGTCAAATTTACAGTTATAAGGGCTAACACAGAAAGTTCGACATTTTATATTTGTTGGTCTTTAACTTGAATTGATGGTGTTAAAATTTATACAAGTATTTTGACCCAGACTGGTACACTGAGATACATAATCCTGAGGCAGCTGGTTATCATAATACCATTATAATGTTCTTAGCTCCTGGGAATTTAAAATTGTTAACAATTTGTATATACTATTAGTGAATGGTTGCAGCATTTTTGTCCAGTCATCCTTGTGGTTTGAGAGATTTGATGTCCAATAAGAGAGATTTGGTGTAAGGAAGATATTTAGTGTCCATAAAAGAGATAGGTGCCACATGAGTGAGGTTTGATATCCTTAACTGATTTGATGTCCAGAAAAGATTTGGTGTCCATGATAGATTGATGTACAAATGAGAAATTATGTATCCACAAGTTTTATCATTACAGTCCAGATATCCAGGTGTTTCTGAAAGAGATTTGATGTCAATAACTGAGATTTGATGTAGATGAGAGAGATTTGGTGTCAATGAGGGAGATTGATGTAGATGAGAGAGATTTGGTGTCTATGAGGGAGATTTGATATAGATGAGAGAGATTTGGTGTCTATAAGTAAGATTTGATATAGATGAGAGATTTAGTGTCGATGAGGGAGATTTGATATAGATGAGAGATTTATTGTCGATGAGGGAGATTTGATCTAGATGAGAGATTTATTGTCGATGAGGGAGATTTGATATAGATGTAGATGAGAGAGATTTGGTGTCTTTGAGGGAGATTTGATCTAGATGAGAGATTTAGTGTCGATGAGGGAGATTTGATATAGATGAGAAATTTGGTGTCTATAAGTAAGATTTGATGTAGATGAGAGAGATTTGGTGTCAATGAGGGAGATTGATGTAGATGAGAGAGATTTAGTGTCGATGAGGGAGATTTGATATAGATGAGAGATTTGGTGTCTATAAGGAAGATTTGATGTCTATGAGGGATATTTGGTGTCTATAAGGAAGATTTGATGTCTATGAGGGATATTTGGTGTCTATAAGGAAGATTTGATGTCTATGAGGGATATTTGGTGTCTATAAGGAAGATTTGATGTCTATGAGGGATATTTGGTGTCTATAAGGAAGATTTGATGTCTATGAGGGATATTTGGTGTCTATAAGGAAGATTTGATGTCTATGAGGGATATTTGGTGTCTATAAGGAAGATTTGATGTCTATGAGGGATATTTGAAGTAGATGAGGAAGAAGAGTTGGTGTACATTAGGGAGAGTTAGTGTCAGTTTAAGCCATTTCATGTCGATGAGAAATTGTTTTTTATCATTACTGTCCAGTCATCCTGGTCTGGTCAGTAATAAGGTATTGTCATTGTATTACATGTATTAAAACTGATCTTACACGTGATGCGACTTGTCTTTGATGTTAACATTTAAGTCAACGTCAAGTCTGACGTTATTGTGAAACTGTTTTTTGATAACTTCCTGTATTGAAAACATTTCAGTGAACTGCATTCAGATGTTTAGCTATTCCATCAGTTGTACAGCTGTTCCATCAGTTGTACAGGTATTCCATCAGTTGTACAGCTGTTCCATCAGTTGTACAGCTATTCCATCAGTTGTACAGCTGTGTCCAATGAACCACATTTTAAGTTTTACAGGAGCTTTAAAGCAAAGAAAAAAATGCTTACAAAAGGTAAATGTAAGAAACAATTTTCCCTTTTTTTGTTTACTGATGTGTAAAGTGCATTTTTATAGTCATCAAGCTTCGTCCGTCGTCGTGTGCCGTCTTCCTTGTGTCATGCATAATCTTCTAAAACCCTACTCCTCTTTCATACCTTTGTTGATTTCAACTTATTTGGCCTGATTCATCAGTTAGTATAGGCAAATATTTCTTAAATTCAGAAATTTGATTAAACCCCTAGGGACTGGTTCATGGGGCTCCAAAAGGGGAAATAAGGCAATATTTTGCTTCAAAATGCTACTCATTCTTAATGCCTGGGTATATTTCAACCAAATTTTATCTGAAACATTGTTGCAGGTGGATCATCATTTCTTAAATACAGAAAGTTGATTTGACCCCCTAGAGACCTTGGGCCAGGACCCCAAATGGGAAAGTTAGTCAATGATTTTGCTTCAAAACACTTTTTCTTCCTTAATGCTTGAATGAATTTATACCAAATATGGTCTGAAATATCATCGTGGGAATTCATCAGATTTTTCAGACCACCGTGCATTTGCAAATTCTGTGGTTTGTCCATCCATTCATCAATTGTCATCAATTTGTCCTGTAATAAGACTACAGCCCTATTTTAGAGGTAATATCTTGACCCTCTGACTTGCTGAAGGGTAAACAGAACAGCTTAACATGTAAACAAATCTTAATGCTTCTCAAAGGGAGAGCATATAGTTGTGGCTTTGTCCCTCTGACCTACCATCATAATTTTGTCCAGAGCATATCACAAAATTTATAAGAGGTATCAACATGAAACTTCATAGGCAGACAAATCTCAATAAGGAGAAGTGCAGTGTACAAGACCCATAACTCTCTTTTTCATATTTTAGGAGTTATTGCCCTTTGTTATTTTTCATGCTTAAATTTTGTCCAGAGCATAACACAGAAACTATGAGAGGTATCAACATGAAACTTCCAACATTTATTCAGGGAGCATCCATCAGTTTTACCGATTCTCTTGTTTAGTAAAGCTGCACAAACAAATTAATTGTTTCTATCATTGACATTTTTTCCGTGTGATCAAATCTGAACAACTACAGAGATACATGTTGAACAAGGGTAGAAACTGTACAATGTACAACATACTACCCAGTGGACGTATATATGATTGTATACCATACAGAAGTCTGCAATGAATGATGACATATCGATAGGATTATATTGATTGATATTCAATCACCTTAACTGTACTTGTCATTTATAATTTTTATTTGACATAAATATGTTCAACAGTATTTACTTATTATATCCACAACAGTTTATATACAATGTTCTTGTAGTGAGTTAGTAAACACAGCTGAAAGTGATGGTTGTCCCAAACTTCCCACTTCCAATTCTTTTTTTTTTTCTATTCTATGATAATGAATCCACTGTATCTTCATTAATGGATTGACATCATGACCAATCTTCTTAGCAATGGTGTTGTTGAGATGTAGAAATTATGATTCAAGACTTGGTGTCAGGAGATTTGTCACGTCCTATGTTCATCCTTTTCTTTTTCTTCAGCAACACTAGAAAATAAAAGTTTAACACCTGTTAATCCCAGCAAGGCTCAATACCTGATTTTCTATTGTTAACATAATTCTTATTGTAATTAGATCCACAGCTTTAAATATTATCCTTTATTCAAAGATGTTTTAAAAACACTTCACTTCCAAAATAATTTAATGTAATTTAATTTCTATCTCGATCAATATTTTCAGTTACCTGGAATTCTTCTTTATATAAAATCTTTTGTTGTGTTACATTTGAATTTATTTTGCTATAAATACATGCTCCTTTTAAGAAGTCCACAAACATCTATTGCAGCTTCAGTAGAACTTCATTTCATTTTAATCATTTCTCATTGTCCTAGTAATAAGCCTAACCCCTGACCCTCTAGCCCATCCAACACCACCCTGCCTCGCCTACATATCACGTTAGTTTACCTAATGCCTTCAAAGTTGCATACTGAATTCTTACTGGTTTAAAAATTGAACACAGTCATGATGGCCGTAAATAGCTGCGATGTCCTTGGGGGTATCCCCATATTTGTCAGTGAGGTCTAGCGGAACACCAGCACTGTGGAGGGCTCTCAGTACAGTCAGCTTTCCTGTTTCTCCAGCACAATGGGCTGGAGTCCATCCCGAGTCTGTCCGGATCACTCCATCTGCTCCATGTTCAAGTAGGATCCGTATACACTCAACAAAACCTACAGTGAAATGTTCTCATTGTCAGTGCAGGATAATTGTATGTAAAAAATAGCACCTTTAAATGCAAGTGTACATTAAGATACATTACAGCCAGTTAACAATGAATTTAACAGCATCATACAGCTGTTTTTTACCTTCTAGACCTCATCAGTGATGCGAAGGACCCAAATTGTGAAGCCAAAGGGATGAATTAGGAAAACCCAAAGTAATCAGATGTAAAGTCAAAATCTAGATGGGAAGGTGTACTAGCCCCATAATTCAATGAATTTAGCATTTTTATATATCTGATAATTTTGGAAAAACATCAAGCTCATATATATATTCTGAACCTGCAACTAAGTGCAAGTATGTTTCAAATTTCCATCATGACTGTAAAAGGTAGAACTATTGACCAGGCCAAATAAGTAAGAAAATTTTGTCAGCATCCTTTCCTTAACAACACCATGAATTACCAGTTTAATGTTACCAGTGGACCTTGAGAAGATGTTCAAAATGCGAAAATTTATGCATGTGCACCAAAACAGACAAACATATGACCTAACAATTTAAGATATTAATTGATTTCAGTTTTTTTACTACCCCAAAAACAGGAATTGGTATAAGAAGTACACTTCAAGTTAAGATCATCTTTATCTACAGGAAATGGAAGGAATATGTAGTCATTTTAGCTCACTACAGACTTGGTTCCCTTATACAGAAACTTGAAGGAAAATAAGATCCGATGGAGAGTCTGGTTACCCCTCACTCTAGTGAAGTGTTGCCTCAAGTTAAAGTCAGTACCTCTCATGGCAGCCCAGTGTAAAGCAGCACGGTCATTCCAATCTGAATCCTTCAAATTAACGTCATACTTGTTGGTGCGGAGATACTCCACTAACGAGTCAGCATCACCAGTCGCTGCTGCCTCATGTACCTCTAACCCATCTGACACATGCATCTATGGATGGAATAGCAATAGATACTAATCACACACGGTCTCGGGGAACATTTGTATTAGTCGTCTACATTGAAACCATATTGATATCAAAGTCTAGGAGACTATTGTAATCTATAATATAAAGAAGGACAGTGAATTTGGATCAGAAAAATGTATCTGTGATGAATCTTGGGGAACACAAGAACCAAGTTCTCCATTGTGTTAAGGATATACCTGCTTCTGAATTGATATGAAAATATGATAAAACACAAACAGGTATATTTGTGTACCTGAAAATGTACATGTAGCAGAGGCAACATTTTGTTTGCAGTTCTACCAACGGATAATGACACCATTATGTGTCTAAAGTTTTACTGCTTAAAATTGTTCGAAATTAATAAAAGGAAAAATCGCTTATTCACAATTAAATCTACAAACTTGTAAGAAGCTGCAGACATTTAGCTGGAAGAAACACTACCTTCTTTTCATCTCTTGACATTGGTGTCAAACGTAGCAAGCTGTGAGGGTAGCAAGAGTATTACAGCCAGGTTTTACGAGGTTGAGAGGCTCGTCCTTAATGTACAGGCAAATCTGTTGCAATAGATGTTACAAAGTGCAGAGCAACGAGAAAATAGATTGTGAGTGGAATTGCAAAATCTAATACGGGTGCTGTGCAAGTTAGTATTGATATTGGGAAATTTTTACTCCAGAAATATTCCATTTCAGTAATTATTTATTTCCTGTTGCCCATCACCTGTAATTTTTTTTCTTCCTTGTCAATGTATATCTGTACTGTCAATACCAGACAAGCTGATGTCAGGCTCTTTCATTTGAAACTGTATGTGAACAAGTTCTTCCTTAACCTGACAGGATAAGATTCAAACACCGTCCCCTTTAACCTGACAGGGCGAAGTTCAAACTATGTCATCCTAAACCTGTCAGGGCAAGATTTAAACTTTCACTCTTAACTAAACAGGAGGAGATTCAAACACTTTCACCCTTAATCTTACAGGATGAGATTTAAACTCAAATACCCTAAATCTACACTACACGATTCAAAGACTTTCACCGTCTATCAAATAGGACGAGATTCAACTTCTGTCACACTCAATTAAAGAAGACAAGTTTGACAAGTTCAAACACTCCCATCATATACGTGTAAATCAAACAAGACATTCTGAGCTTACACTCTAATGTTCAAATTCTTTTACTTTCGACTTAAGATAATTAAGTTGTCATCCTCGACACAACACGTCAAAGTTCACAGTCAATCTAGACTATACAAGATTCAAATGCTTCCAAGACGCTGGCACTTTATGATAGACCTTACGTTACAGCAGGAAAATAAAGAATAGATTATAACAGGTGTGGCTCCACATATCTGTATATATCTTGTTATTAATGATTACTTACATCTTAAACTATATATTTACATCCTGTAGACATTACGTAGCTATCTATCGTGGAATACCTGTGTACGTTTGTGATGTATCCCGGATGTAATATGGAAACTTCACATGTTCACACGTAAACCAGACTACATATATATCGATACAATTTGCATGTGCTGATATATCTTAACTTCTCTTAAAAATCAAAAGTGAATAGTGCATTTTAATTATTTAGGATAGAAGTTATTGATATTTGTTTGCTGTTTTTGTCGTAATTACAATTTTTTTTATCTTACCGTCTTCTTTTGTTTACATTATCAACGCATCGGATCACCTTGCCGAAGTCTGTGACAAGTAATGAAAATTTTAGAGAACCTCCGAAGGATACCAATTTGTTTCCCCGCAGTTACCTCCCCTGTGTCGTTAGACGACACAAGAAACTTTTCTTTGACGTCGCATACGTCAAACAAGGAACAACATTAGCGCCGTAGCGCTAATTTGTTTAAACAAACATAATTAAAAACAACAGAAACAAAACATGTGATGTTACATAAACAAATTATCACATGAAGGTAAAACATAGTAAGATAAACAAACAAGAGTTAATAACAGAGCAGCACATAATTAGGTCAATCACGGGCAATGATTTGTAATAAATCAAAACCAGAAATACTAGGAAAAATTGTGATATAACAGTGAGCACCTGCATATCACTCATATATGTTGAAAGCTCTGTTTCATATAATGGTTTCACCTCACCAAATGTTAAAATGAATAGAGGAATCTTACAAGGGGGATCTCTGTCTGCTAAAATGTATCTTATCTTTATTAATGAATTATTGAATGAAATAGAGACATGTGGGAAAGGAGCAATGATTATTGACCTTAAAGTTAATATACCAACTCAAGCAGACGATATATGTTTAGTGAGCACGAATCATCGAAGTCTCCAACAAATGGTCAGCATGTGTGAACATTATAGCAAAAAGTGGAGATTTACCTTCTCTTCTACAAAAAGTAAAATAGTATGTTTCTCAAAGAAATGCAATCCATATAATATACCAAAGGTTTACCTGTACAATTGTGTTCTGCCAGTAGATAGTGAAATTAGACATGTAGGTATACTGTTAAACGGTAGATGTAATTCAACTGAAAGAACAGAAAGAGCTTGCAACAATCTAAAATCTGGTACCATGTCTCTCCTTAAATCTGGTGCTCACCCCAGTGCACTTAACCCTCTTACTGTAGCTAAACTGGTTAAGATTAAAGTGTATCCGTCTGCGTTGTATGGTTGTGAACTATGGATACTCTCGAAAGCTGAAATAGCCATGTTAGAAAGAGCACAAAATTTTATTGTTAAATCCATCCAAGGTTTTGAAAAAAGGACGAGAACCGATATGTTTAACTCATTATTAGGTTGGACATCTATTGAGGCTTATATTGATATAAGAAAGTTACTATTTTTGAGGCGAATATATAGTATGAACATTAGCACTTTGGTATATAAAATATTTTCCACTATATTTTTTATGTTTAATACGAGTACTGCAAAACAAAGTGGGTTCATACCAGATATTGTACGGATCCTACGAAAGTATATATTGTATGGATTTTTTCAGATTGTATAAGAACGGGCTCGTTACCTGGTAAACGACAGTGGAAAACATTGGTAAATAAGTACGTATATATATTTGAAGAAAATGAATTGAAACAAAGAATGTCAAATGACAGTGACTTCTTCCGGTTCGCGTCGATTCATAACAAGCTAGAGTCACATTGCTTATGGAAACTTGCTGCAAAATATCCTCAGTACTCTAGATCTATACATTGTATTTTAAGATGGTGTGTGAACCTCTCGCAGGTCTACCAATACGGAATTGTGTCATGTTTGTGGAAAATTTTACAATGATTCTATAACTCATATTGTTCTAAATTGTGATGCAAATGCAGGTATTAGAGACGAATTATGGTGCTATGTTATTAACATGTCAGATATTCAATTCAGTGTCCATATACATAACTTATCGGATTTCGAATTAACTAATGCTCTGTTGGGCAGTCTATTAAAGTATGATTTATCTTCAGAGAAAATGGAACATTTCAGATTAGGCGCTATCTCATGTGTATGTCAAATGTTGAAAAACTATTATCAGTAATCTGTTTTTCTGGTACATATAAGTACCAAAACCCTATATCTTGAAAATGTGTTGAAAGTAGTGAAATATCTCTAATTAACTATCAAAACATATTGTAACTGTATATATATGTATGTGCGTGTTGGTGTGTACGTGTGTAAATTTATGTAATTTATTGCTGTTTATATTGTTGTCTTTGTAAATCTTCATATTTGGAGGAAATAAAGATAATAATAAGATATTATGCCATAACATATGTTTGAAGTAGTGGGTTAGAAACTTCAGCTTAGGTGCGTGATTATTATAATTGGATAATTTGTTTCGCAATTGTTGTAAAATAAATAAAAGTATGAATGATACATATTTATGATGTTACAATAAACGTTTACTCCACATATATAATATATAACATATATATATATATATATATATATATATAACATTTTCAACAATTAATTTACAGTAAGTAAGGGCGGTGGGATTGAAAATACAGCCTGTGACTAAAAACTTAAACAATAACTAAAAACAGGTTTCTTTGTTGTCTTTTCTGTTGTGTGTAAACATGCTGTCTTTCATATCATTTGAATACACGTACGTTGCTTCTACAGGTGTTAGTATGCTTGTTATCTCCCCCTGTTATTTGTACACGTATGTTGTCAATCCTGTTTGTACTTATGTTTTTCCGGATATTTGTACCGAATATGTTGTCTTTCCTGTTGTTTTGGTGTCTGCTCGATTCAGGTATGGCATTTTTTTTATTCAGACATTCTGTCAAACTTCGAGAATGGATCCTGGTATTTAATAACGTAAGTAGGATTTTATTGCACCCCACGTGCTCTATTTCTTGAACCCCACGTGCACTATTACGCTATCAACATCCGTGTCACACCTTAAAGCACGATCTTATAAGTACTTCATCATGTCCTGCAATTCTATTACGTACTCATCTTTCACTTTCATATATTGTACCTCCCTCCAATAAATCGTTATCTTTAATATGCTGCGACTATGAAAACAGGAATGACGTCATGCATCTAGAAGGTCTGGGTAAAATGAAAGAAACTGTGATGAGACAAATAAATGTCGTTGATGATACTAAATCATTGCATTTCTCTGTAAACATCGAGATAGCTAATTACAAACGATTAGGTTTGCACTTGTGTTGGCTACATGCATATGCTTTCAGATTTCATTACAGTTGCTACGATATTCTTACATGTGTAACTTATTCAGAAGAAAATTCCGTTTTTAAGAAATGGTGATCAATATTGTTTAGTGGATTTCAGAAGCTAAGGCTGTTGTCGTTAATCTTTACTAGCAATCAATTCACACAACTCACAATACAATTATATAACCCCCCCCCCCCCCACCACCACCACCCTCATTACCCCACTCCCAAGCCCCACCCCCAACCTCCAACCCCACTTTTCCTTCATGATCCGCTCAACAATAAAACACGTCTTCTAAACAATTATTCATATACCTTTCAATTGGAAAAAATTAAAGACTGACATCCAGTCGCCTGTGTGATTAAGATAATTTGAAATAAAAAAAAAATCCTGACGAAATACCAGTAAACCAACACCGAGGATCATAATTAATTCCATGTCATTCTCCAGGCTTTCGTAGATATGAAACATTAAATAAAGTCGATATATTGTCTATTGTATCTGTATCAAATGTCGACTTCTTGTCCACCTTTCCTGTAGACAACCGAGGTTCGAGACCAGATCGGCCGTGGAAATGTTCCGCGGTCAACTCGTTCGAAATAACATAAATACATAGTGCTGTGATGGAAATGGATTACTATCTTCATAATACAAACACGAAATTCTTTCTCGTGTGGTAACAGAAAGACGTGTTTCATGTTAAATGGACGGCAAACGGATGGACCCTGCTTCTAAGATGCACGCGACGACACGTGTTTCATTTCTATAAGTGACTAATTTGAAAGGAAATATAATTGATTCTAAATATCATTAATTTTGACGATTTCATTTAATATCTCCGACTGGATGAAAAAGGATTGCTGTTAATACTTATGACAAGTGCCAAAGTCGGCATATGACACTCCCTCCTCTCCCCGTTCCAGATAGTGGCCCCGCCCCTTGCTGTACCTGTACGGTATATATCATGTACATTGACGTAGTTGCTAGATATTACAGCGAGACTCTACTTCAAAATGACCTTGGCTGTTGACGAGACGATAAACCCAGAAAACAAATTACACAACACAAGCAATACGAGATAGTGAAAAATAAACAAAATCAGTCCGACCAGAGGAATGACGGTACAATACGCAAGCTTACTAAGTTTGAATAAAACACGTAGTCTCTGGTAATGCGCGCGATTTTGTTATCGGGGAAGTGATATATATATGTAAGTGAAGAACATGCTCCCTTTCTAATGAAAAGTCGGTGATGTAATCTATTCACCGCACGCATTACTCAATATTAATTCTGCCACATCATCCCTCAATCAGGATGTAAAGTACAACAAAGACATTAATTTTATATCAATTTTTAATTATTATCCCAAATTTATTTTATTTTTTAATTTTGTAATCAATTTTAGCGATAAGGTGACGACAACATATGTAATAATAATCTAAATTCCTGAGGTATGGGGTCGCTGTGTTAGGACTGCTAGGTACGGATATAGGATCGCTGTATATATATTACCTGTACAATTTGAGGTAATACCTGCCGTGCCCTTCCGTAACATTATGTCAAGGCGGTGGGCGGTACCTGTGTACATACATCTAACGCTATCACAAACCGCTGTCAATCATTGCAGCTACGTCACGGAGCTACATACCTATATATGTATGTGGCTCACCTGGACAGTTTCAGTGTTGTGATGCTAGGTAAGCAGGTCAGCTTATCGCTAACTGATAGTGGTGTGTTTTCCAATTGGAAATTTATATGAATACATGATATA